GGTTCTCAACATTACTGCAAAGACCATATCTTCACATTGAAGGAGAGTATATCCATTTAAGCTGGACATTCACTTTGCACATTGGGATATTATTGTTATTTTTTCACAGACTTTTTATTATTTTATATATATTTTTTTAATTTTCTTTTGTTTCTTATTTAACTATTTATTTTTCAATCTCACTTATTAAATTATATGATGAATTTTTTTGAGGTTCACTGATGGAAGATTTGCACATTGTTATAAGGATTGTACATTTAGTGACGTGATAACATGACATGAATTTATTTTTCACTAGTTATAATTTTATATAATTAGTTACGATATACTATTATTTATTTTCATATTTTAATTTATTTATAAGCACTTAGCACTTTTTGATTTACACTTTTTTGTGGATATTAGAGCGTGGTTAATATTTAAACCAATTTTTGATAAACGCACATCACATGAGAGTGGGCTCACTAACCAGCGATCTAGTACTTATGGTGTGAAAAAGGTATAGCGAGCGCTACAGACAGAAATGTGTAAGCAGCTAGAACACCAAAAAAGGCAACCAACCAACCTTACAGTAATCAATAAAAAGAGAAAATAGGTGCAGCGCTTGAATCAGAATACAAAAAAAATTCTCTATAAGGTATATATGCATATGAATGTCAATGATCAAAAAGATAAAATCGATACAAAATGTGATACAATGGTAAACAGTGCGCTAAACAGTGAGAAATGTTAAGGCACACGTAAAGTCCTCATCCCAGATCAGTGGTTATAAGAGAGGTGAAAAATCCTAGGAGCGGATAGAGTGCGCACTCACCAGAGGTGCGTATAAATAACGCATGTAGAGAAGTATAATCTGAAAAATCTCTCCGACATCAAAGCTCTGGTCAGATCGCACTCCGTACCATCCTCTGTCTCACCGCGAAAGGCAGTAACCAGGATTCATCAAACCGTGTAAGCGTCAAAGGTACTCCTTAGTCCAGATAGGCACTGTGGGAGGTGGTGCTCTCAAAGAGAGCCTTTCAAAGTCTTGGTGAACAGAGAGTGTGAATGAACTTCCCCACATCTCTTCACATCTGCTGATCAACTTTGCATGGCTGATCCTTGCACCTCAGTGCCAACCTCTTTGATCTGATCAGGTGTGCAATGTCTAGATCTAGTGATCTAGTACTTATACCTTCAAAATATACCTTGGTGGCTTGCAAGTTAATTTGTTTGTAAAAATCTATACCTGGAATTCAGCTTTAGGGCTCAAGATATTCAAGGTAGACCCCTTAACAACTTTCCTGATTTCTCTGTCTAATAAATCACATTCTCTCGTTAATAAAACCAACAAATCAATCACTACATAATTAAGAGCAATTAATTATGCTTAAATAATATACAGACAGATCATATATAGGTGTTATTAATATTAATGTGCATATAGGTTTTTATTATTGTGTAACTTCGTTAATTATTTAATACACCATTCATGGAATGCAAAATGCAGATTTCACCATATGTTTTTATACAATATAGTCTCATTATTAAAATATATTTGAACACATTTTCTCTTTAAAAAAAAGCATGAGATCCTTATGTAGCCAGTTTTCTTGTCAGTAGACTTTAGCAAGGTGCTTCTTTAAACATATGTGACGGCAGAACCATGCAGTATATCAAACCTCTCTCATAAAGCTGCTAATTTGGTCCATAGAGGATGATAAGGTACGATATGTGGACATGACATGTGTGTGTGTTGCGCGGCTCTCCTTGCAAAAATAAACAGTAAGCTAATGAGAAGGAAATAGCTTTGCTCGTGAAACGCGTCAATAAAAATATACCCAGAATTCGAGCTCTTGTGGCAACCATCGTCAGCCTCTTAAATTGAGAGCATGTTTTTTTTAATATGGGTCTTAAAGCATAGGTCTCTGCTGAATGGACCAAATATCCGCCAGCTGGGCTGTATTAGTGCTGAGCTATCAGTGATGTTCCATGTTTCATAATCAGATGAAACCGCTGGAACAATTTAAACGATTCCTTTGAAGTGATTGACTTTCCTCAGAAGTATCTCCCATTTTGCTCTTCTTCATAGCAGCTGGACCATCTGTCACTCAGTAAGGATATTTAGACCAAATTCCAGTGGTAATCAAAGATAATTGACATGCGTCAGTGTCCATCTTGTCATATGTTTTAGAGTACACCAATTGCTTGGGAGAAAATTATTACTCAGAGGGAAGCCGGAATGGCATTAAATTCAATAAATATCCCCATTTTTAAAGCAGAAGAATTGAATTGGACCTTTTATGAAAAGGTAAGGTCTTCTGTGGGACCCCACCCTTCAGGATTAAATAAACAAAAGCATAGGTAGCCACCTTGCCTTAGGCAGGAATGTCTCCCTAAGGGTATTACTCCTTGGATGTATTCAGCTAAAGCGTAATAGATAAGATCTATCTTTGTTTGGTCTTCCCTACACCCAGCATAATTGAAAAACTGTAAATTTCAGCACTCAGAGCTCTACCGAAGAGGAAGATGACCACAAATGATGTATGATACAATGGATCATGAACTTCCCCAGGAATGTGTAGTAGATGCTGCCTCCTCAACTGGGGAAGTCTTGTGAAAACTATAAAAAGAACAAACAGGAGGGTGCAAACATCTAGTGCATTACCAACGATTTATTGTTCACGAAATGCCAAATGGATACTCACAGAAGTGGAAAGTAAAATTGCATAAAAACTACAAGATGCCACAGCAAGGGGAATCACATGTCTCCATGCAACCCAGCTGGACTGGCAAGTTGACTTGTTTTGGAGGCGTACATTCTCCCTCAGAGCTATGCTAATCCATGCTGCTGCATCTTGTGGTTTTATACAATTACTTTTACTTTCCACTTCTGTGAGTATCCATTTAGCATCTATGTTTTGTGAACAATAAATTATGGTAATGCATTAGGTGTTTGCACCCTCCTGTTTGTTCTTTTTCTATTTGTCTAATTCTGCCTGCTACCAGGGAGTTCAGATTGACACACTAGTTCACGCAGTCCATAAAATGTTTATTATGCAACAAAATCCAATGCATTGTGGGACTTCAACACTCCCCCTTCATCAGGGCTTATTGGGCATTAACCATATGGTGAGGGATACTGGCCTGGACTAAACAGGTACATGGCTCTCACCAATGCCCACGATGAACACATTTCTTAAAAACAGCTACCTACAAACCACATTGAATACATTGAAATGCTATGTATGTGACCTTTAACAAACAGAATTAAAGAACTTACAGGCATATACGTATCAAAGAGAGAAGGGAAGAGACCTTAACTGGTGTTACTGTTACTGAACCTGGCTTGTAACCAGGGGAGGACTGACCATTTGGAAACTCGGGCACTGCCCGAGGGCCCGGGGTCAGTAGGGGGCCCCATGAGATGCCCCTGGTACCTTTTTCATAGGTTTTTTGAGTTTGGGCAAGGACACAGGGGCCCCATGATCCCCTATTGCCCGGGGGCCCCATGAGTTGTCAGTCGTGACCCGACTATGCTCATAGCTGAACTGGTACCAGAGCTCCCAAGCTTCAGTCTTCGGTTTAAACTCCTGGCACTTGTACCCTATGCTTTTGCAGACCCCATGTAAACTTCCAGGGGTGCCCAGATGGGAATTGTGCAAGAGGGCCTATATGTGCTTGAGAGTTTAGGTCTGGGTTTTAGACATGAAGTTGGCCTGCATGTATGGAGGGAAGCTAGTCCCTAGACTCAGTTCCAGGGTAGAAACTCTACTGAAGAGGTGTCCTGGAAAGCTGTGTGAAGCTGGAACCCAGTGGAGAGAGTAGCAGATTAACTGGGAATATGTATGAAACTTTCTGCTCACGGTCCGATGCAGACCCCCAGACACAGCTTAATGGTTCATGCTCTGTGTAGCTGGCAGTGGAGTCAGGAGATAGACCTCTCGACTGGTCAATAAGCAAATTTAAACATGTTTGGGATAAAAAAGTTCTATGTTGGGACAAAAAGCTTAAAAAAAACAAAAAAACAAAACAAAAAATGCATGTGTAGTGCTAACCCCCTTGAGGGCCGCTGGATTTTGATGGGGTCCCCCCAAGCTCTGCACAGCCAGGCAACACATATTTTCCACATTTTCCCACACAGAATCAGTAAACAGTCCTTGAGCTTGTTTTTGTTTTTTTTATTAAGGGCTAACAACTTGGATGGGGTATAGGGTTATATGTGATGCCCAGGGAACTGTAGACCTTGAGGACAACTTCTTAGCAAAACATGGTACACTGTAAAAAAAAATGTGGACCAAAAAAATAGCAACTGTCTCTTTAAGGAGCACTGATGTTCTTTTTGGTGTACCTCCTCAGACCCCAGATGAATCCTTCCTCTTTCACCTGGCTGTCCTGAGGGTATCACTGGGCAAGGGATTCCAAAATCTGCAGTTAAGTAGTCCCAATTGAGAACTAGTTGGCTGTTGCACCTGACCGCCCTCTGCTCCCTCTCTGGCCCAGGGGGTGTAGAAGTACTCACACTAGCGCAGCGGTCCGGTCCTGTTAGCGTGATTTGGGTTGCAGCTGCTTTCAGGCCTTATGTTGGGCACCTGACTCCTTCCCTGCTGACAGGTTGTCCGGCTAGGATCACCGGCAGGAGGTGGAGCTTGGAGAGGAGGAGCCGAGCGGCAGCGCGCATACATCAGAAGATCGAGGGAGCTGCCGAAGCGAGTGAAGAGGAGAGCGGCCAGAGAAGGAAGACAGCAGTAAGTGAGAGAGCGAGCCCAGGCTAGTCACTAATACCAACGATGGGGCACTATTCCTCCCCCACTAACACCCCCCTCCCCCCACTGCGCCCCTTTGACACCAACAGGGGCACTATTCCACTCCCCCACTGACACCAACGATCCACTATTTCCCCCCCCCCACTGACACCTTCTGACCCAGTCTATTCTCCCCTCCACCACACTGACATCAATGATGGGGCACTATTCCTCCCACTGACACCCTTGGGCTATTCCTCCCACTGCACCAGGCATCTATTCTCCCACTGACACCAGTGATGGGGCACTACTACTCCCACTGACACCAGTGATGGGGCACTACTCTGACACCAGTGATGGGGTTACTCCAGTCACCATGATGGGGCACTACTCCCCCCCTGCACCAGTGATGGGGATTGGCCACGTTTCTGACACCTTGGGGCAAACATTCAATGGGGTCTATTCCTCCCCCCACCTCCACCCACTACTCCTCCCAACACCAATGATGGGGCACTATTCCTCCCACTGACACCAATTGGGGCACTATTCCTTGACACCAATGATCTATTCCTCCCACTGACACCAATGATGGGGCACTATTCCTCCCACTGACACCAATGATGGGGCACTATTCCTCCCACTGACAGCAATGATGGGGCACTTCCCACTGACACCAATGATGGGGCACTATTCCTCCCACTGACTGATGGGGCACTATTCCTCCCACTGACACCAATGATGGGGCACTATTCCTCCACTGACACCTGTAGCACTATTCTCCCACTGATACCAATGATGGGGCACTAGCCTCACCCACCTCCACTGACCCAGGCTGACTCCTCCCACTGACACCCAGGCTTCTGAACAAGCCTCTGACTCCCACTGACACCAAAAAAACTGATACCAACGAACTATTCCTTGATACCAACGATGGGGCACTATTCCTCCCACTGACACCAAGATGGGGCTCCACTGACACCAACGAAAACTTTCTCCCACTGATACCAAGATGGGGCACTATTCCTCCCACTGACAAGTGAGGGGCACTATTCCTCCCATGACAGTGATGGGGCACTATTCCTCCCACTAGATGGGGCACTATTCCTCCCACTGACACCAGTGATCTTTTTCTGCACTATTCTCCACTCTGTGTTTCCATAGACGATGGAGCACTATTCCCCCGCATTAACTCCTTTTTTTACTCTTTTTTTGGAGCTGTCTTTGGTCCAATCAAGTGGCATGAACCAAGCAATCTTATGTTGGGCTGACTCCTTCCCTGCTGACAGGTTGTCCTCACTAGGAGACTGGGTGGCACAGTGGAAATCCTTCCATCCGACACCAGCCTGTATGTAACCAACCCTGGTGACCCCCTTTCAGGGCTCAGTACCTTCTCTCAGTCATCTTCCACCCAACTCCAACACTACCCTTGCTGCACAGGCTCTCTCACATTTCTCTTAGTCACCATGGCTGGCTGCCTGGGGATTGGGCTTAAACATTCAAGTCTATTCCTCCCCTCCACCTCCACCCCTCTTCTAGAAAGTTCCTCCAGTTTCTAAAAGGGTGGGAGGGCTCCAGAATCCCTGGTAGAACTTCAGACTGAGGTAGCCTCACCACCTCACTCCCAGGCTGACTCACCCCAGGCTTCTAACAAGCCTCTGACTCACAGGAAAAAAAAAACTAAACTTATCTAGAACCAGAGGGTGCTGCATAAAAAATTTCAAATGTAAAAAAAGGGGATGACATGATAGACCACCTAGTCTTTTTCTGCAGTCTTCTGTGTTTCCATAGACGGGAGCACCCCCGCATTAATTTTTTTATCTTTTTTTGGAGCTGTCTTTGGTCCAATCAAGTGGCATGCCAATGCAATCTTTTTGTGGTGGTGGTGGTGGTGGTTGGTCCTCAGTGATGCAAACAACAACACCTTGTAGTGACATGGGCTCTGTCTTCTGCCTCACTCTCCTTTGAGCCTGGAGTGGCTTGGTGTAGCGTCCCCTGGAGGCTTACAGGAAGTGGGTTGAATGACACTTTACTGCAGGAGAATGCAAAGTGGTTGAGTTTGTGAAGAAAGGGATTTTTTAAATTGAATTGGGTTTTGCCAGGTTTTCGTAGGTGTCTGTACCCTTAATAGGAAAAAAATTTCAATTCCTGTCTTGGGTACACCCTATGAAATTTCGCCAGCATGGTTACAGAAGGCAATAAATACTCGCAATTCATTCAGAACTTTTCACACTCTATCTAAATCCAAAAACATAGAATTAATACAACAATTCAATTGCCTTGCCTGTGGTTTTTTTTTCTTTTTTTTTAATATGGTGTGTTTTTAAAGTTGAACTCCAGCCTCCCCTTCAGTCTTGTATAATTGGGCAGACTAAGGAAATGCTTCCTCTTGCCTGCAGCAGACTAATGCATTATCTCAGCCTAGGTAAAGTCACTGGGCTGGAGCTCAAGGATGGCTTTTTAGGACTCATTCACACGTGCAGCAGGGACTGTCGCTATTCTGAAAAGCAATCAGCTTGGATCGCTTATCAAAGGTGCTTGACAGGCAGTGAGGAGGTGATAGGTTGCCTCTTCACCTCCTGATTTAACCCTATAATTGCCTTACTACCACACCACAATCGTGTGCATTGCACCCATAGAACTATATTAGATACGTTCGACATCGGCCCTGCCTGGAAAAGCAACATGCTATTTAGGTTTTTTAAGCACGGCATGAGCACAGCTGGGAGCTGCTGTATGTTAATGTTCACACAGGCGATCGGGGGTTGGTAAAACCCCAGATCAACCATCTAGTTTTACTTCCCCCTGCCTGCATACTGTATGTCAGGAATTTATTCATTCAAGCTTGTAAGCTACAAAAAAGTCCGTTTTAAACTACAAAATGCATTTTCTGGCAATTATGTATTATGTTGATTTGTTTTGCGGAGAGTGGAGTTATGCCTTTAAACTTGTTTTATGTGTTTTCCATCCACTGTGCTGTGATTTAGGCTCATTGGGGTGCATTTTTTTGTAAGCGTTTCCTGGAGGGCAAAGTGCTTTCTACTTTTTGCATGCAGCTGCGTGCTATAAAATCACCATAAAACACGTATACAGTATCTTTCAGTCCTATGGTAGATGCGATTAGGGGAAACAGTGACCAAACTGCAGCAAACAGGATCTTTAACCACTTGTCCTCTGGAAGGATTTATCCCCTTCCTGACCAGGTTGTTTTTTATTGTGCAGCACTGCACTAATTTAACTGGCTTTAACTGACCAATTGCGTGGTCATGCAATGCTGTACCCAAATTAAATTTATATCATTTTTTTCCACACAAATAGAGCTTTCTTTTGGTGGTATTTGGTCACCACTGTTTTTTTTATTTTTTACATAAATGAAAAAAGACCAACAATTTTGAAAAAAAAAAAATTTTTTTTTTACGTTCTGTTTAACCATTTGCCGCCCACCCTATGGCCGAATGGCGGCCGGCAAATGTCATCAGCGTTCCGGGTGAACGCCAAGTGGCATCCTCCCGCACATGCGCAGATTGTGCTCCTGCAGAGCCGCGCAGCGGCGCAATCTGTCACCGGCCGTGTACCTCGGACACGGCCGATGACAGATCTGAGTATCGGCCCCCATTGCCGGTAGCATGTGACCTGCTGTGACCAATCACAGCAGGTCACATGACAGTTGTATATAATGGATGACTTCATTCATGCCATCCATTGTATACTAGTGTCTAGCTGTGAATGGTTACAGTTAATCACATGCACATGTCATGTGATTAGCTGTGGCCAAATCCCAGCTAAGCACAAAAAAAAAAAACAAAATACCCCTGAATGAATCGATGTCATTCAGGTAAATGCTTGCTTATAGCAAAGTAATTTTTTGCTATAAGCAAATTGTCTAAAAAAAAAAAATTACTGATCACTTCCCCAAAGTAGTACAATGTTACTATCTGAAAAAAAAATCTTAAAAAAAAAAAAAAAAATTTAATAAAAAATTAAAAATAATAAAAAAAAAATATATATATATTTTTTTCATACTGTCACCAGTCAGTGTCCCTGATCACCGCCATGCCAGTTATATGATGACGCTGTACTGCACTGGTGACAGTATGTAAAAAAAAAATAGTGAATTTTTTCATTTTTTCATTTTCCGAAAAATTATGACAAAAAAAATACAACTTCAAAAAAATCGCCATGCCTCTTATGAAGTACGTCGGACTGTCTACTTTGCAAAAAGGGGTCATTTGGGGGATATCTGTACTGTTCTGACCAGGGGCGGACTGACAACTCATGGGGCCCCCGGGCAATAGGGTATCATGGGGCCCCTGTGTCCTTGCCCAAACTCAAAAAAGCCTATGAAAAAGGTACCAGGGGCATCTCATGGGGCCCCCTACTGACCCTGGGCCCTCGGGCAGTGCCCGAGTTTCCAAATGGTTAGTCCACCCCTGGTTCTGACATTCTTGGACCTCAAGAAATTAGATTGGTTGTCAGTACTTCAGGATTGATCAATATTCAGATCTATACCATAGTTTGTGAACTCTATAACTTTCCTACAAACTAAATAACACATCCTAATTTGGGTTATTTTCACCAAAGACATGTAGCAGAATACATCTCGGCCTAAATTTATGAAGAACAATTATTTATTTGCAAACTTTTATAACAGAAACAAAGAAAAACGTGTGTTTTTTTCAAAATTGTTGGTCTTTTTTTGTTAATTTAGCAAAAAATAAAAACCCCAGCGGTGATTAAATACCACCATAAGAAAGCTCTAGTTGTGTGAAGAAAATGATAAAATTTTAGTTTGGGTACAATGTTGTATGACCGCGCAATTGTCATTCAAAGTGTGAGAGCGCTGAAACCTGAAAACTGGCCTGGGCAGGAAGGGGTAAAATTGCCCGGTATTGAATTGGTTAAAATATATCCAAATAAAAAAAAATCAAATCTCTTCATAAACTTTGGCCAAAATGTATTCTGCTACATGTCTTTGGTAAGAAACAATCCCAATAAGTGTTTATTGATTGGTTTGTGTGAAAGTATAGCTTTACAAACTATGGGATATATACAGTGGGGAAAATATTTATTTGATCCCCTGAAGATTTTGTAAGTTTGCTCACTTACAAAGAAATGAAGGGTCTATAATTTTTATCGAGGTGTATTTTAAATGATAGACACAGAATATCAACCAAAAATCCAGAAAAAAAACACATGATACAAATGTTATAAATTGAGTTGCAGTTCAGTGAGTAAAATAAGTATTTGATCCCCAAGCAAAACATGACTTAGTACGTGGTGGAGAAACCCCTTTTGGCAAGCACAGAGGTAAGACGTTTCTTGTAGTTGGTAACCAGGTTTGCACACATCTCAGGACGGATTTTGGTCCATTCTGCTTTACAGATCTTCTCTAAATCTTTAAGGTTTCTTGGCTGTCGGTTGGTGACTTGAAGTTTCAGCTCTCACCATAAATCCTCTATAGGATTAAGGTCTGGAGACTGGCTAGGCATCACTGAACTACAACTTAATTTATAACATTTGTATCAAGTGGTTTTTCTGGATTTTTGGTTGTTATTCAGTCTCTATCATTTAAAATACACCTATGATAAAAATTATAGACCCTTTATTTCTTTGTAAGTGGCAAACTTTCAAAATATGCAGGGGATCAAATAATTATTTTCCCCACTGTATTGGAATTTTTATTTATTTATTTATTTATTTATTTATTTTATACTACTAATGTCAGTGATCAGAGACTTATAACAGGACTGGGGTAGTGCGGCGGGCTATCTGACACAAACTGATGCTGGGGGAACTGACTAATTGCTGACATCACCAATGACATTAATACAGTGATCAGTGCTAATAATATAACATCTAGGGGAGATCAATGGGTTAACTGCGTCCCTAACTATATGTAATGTGTGTAATATGTGGTGCTTTTACTAAGGATTTTGTTGTTTTTATTCCTTGTTTAGCAAGGAATGAAAAAA